CCCCGTGGGTCCTCGCCTCGCTCGTCCCAGCCCCTGCCACAGTAGTGACCACTGAGTAAGATGCCCCGACAAGGGTGGTCCCGGTTCTCTGGGGACACCTCTGGCCTACAGGGGCAGAGAGGGAACTGGTGGCCAGCACTGGAGGCCAGGCTGGGGGCGTGCCAGCGGGCCTGAGCGCTGGGAGGGGGCCATCTACAGGTCACACCCAGCGGGGTGCCCATGGCCTCCCAGACACACCCCCTCACACACAAGTGCACCCGCAGAAGCTCACCCCAGATTCGACTCACAGCCACTCACTGACCCCAAGAAACGCACCCAGAGATGGGTACCCTCTGCTCAAGCCCGAGTGTGTCATACTGGTGGGTTCCACCCCTAGTTCCAGCATGGGACCAGGGAACCCCCACTTTCCGGTTTGAACCTCACTTTCCCACTACCTGGAATGGGGCTGGTTCCCCCACCCCCCCACACCAGGGCTGTGAGGACTGCCACCTGCTGGCGCCCAGCACAGGTGGGCTGCTGTTACAGTTACAGTCCCGCCCCCTCACGCCCCCAAACTGACCCCATCTCCCTAGAGACCCCCTGGCTGTCCCATAAAGCCTCCTGGGGGGGGCGGGGGGTGCTGAGGGGCTCATGGCACTTGTAGGGACAGAGGGGGCAGTTTGGGGTCCTTTCTGCAATGGCAGCACCCGACCGGACAAAGACGCTGCCGCTCCTTTGGGCGCGTGCAGCCCTCTGCACTGGGCAGAGGGAAGCGACCGCTCAGCAGGGTACCTTTGTGCAGCGAGCAACCTGTGCAGGCAGGCACCCTCGGTGGTCCTGGCAGCCCAGCTCCCGCAAAGCTTGCGGGGAAAGGGCTCAGAGAAGGCAAGCCGTGCGCCCCGGAGCACTCAGCCTGGGGGGACCGAAGCTGGGATGGCAGCCAGCTGTGTGCGTCAGCCCAGGTCAGGAGACAGGAGGCCGGGGTTGCCACCATCTGCCACCCTCCACAGAGGTTCTGCCCATCCCCACACTGTCCCAGGCACTTAGAAACCAGCTGAGGACTCCTTGCAAAGCCTGCGTGGGAAAGGCCCTCTCAGCCTCTCTGAGCCTCAGGTTCCTCCCCCAGATGATGGGATAAGAGCTGCTCTCACTCCGGCCCCGAGAGAGCTCTCACCCTCATTGCTGTGACGAGCGCCCAGTGGAGCTGGGCGGCAGCCCGGGCATGGGGTGAGTCTCCTCGCCCCACCCCACCTGACTCAGCCCCGCCTCCGGTGCCCTGCAGGAGCGCCTGGCCAGGCCGGAGCAGGACTACCCTGCCCTGCTAGCCTGCTCGCCCCGAACCCCAGAGCCCCGGGCCGGAGCTGCCGTTGCTCCACCCTGATTTCCTCACGGCGCCCGCAAGACAAACACCACCGCGGCCAGCGCCTAGCCAGGGCGGGCCTGGGTCTGGGGGTGGGCTCAGAACCACGCTGCTCTCCAGGCACGTGTGCGTGCACGGTGGCAGAGGGAGGGGCCCAGCTCTGCCACTCACCAGCTGTGTGACCTTGGGCAAGTGATACCACCTCTCTGGGCTTCACTGTCTTCATCCGTGAGAGGCAGAGACTCGTGATGCCCACCTCTCTAGGCTAAGGGAGACGTGGCACGTAAGGCCCTCCCCGCGGCGCCTGGGACAAGGTCCAGAACCGCTTGCTGCCCAGCACGATGTGGCTCTGTCGGTTGGAGCGTCATCCTGTGGCTGAAGGGTTACGGGTTCCACTCCTGGTCGGGGCACTTACCTAGGTTGTGAGTTCGATCCCCCGTCTGGGTGCATAGGATCCCTGGTCCAGGGGTGTGTGCAAAGCAACCATCTGATGCTTCTCTCTCATATTGATATTTCTCTTTCTCCTTCCTCTCTCTAAAAGCAAGGAGAAAAATGTCCTTGAGTAAAATGTCCTCAAGGGAGCATAAAAATATAATAAAACATTAAAAAAAAAATGCTTGCTGTCACTGCTACTAAGCACTCACCTCTGACACTCCTCGCTCAGCCTGGCTGGGGTAGCTCAGTGGATTAAGCTTGGGCTGCGAACCAAAGCATCGCAGGTTCAATTCCCAGTCAGGGCACATGCCTGGGTTGCAGGCCACGGCCCCCAGCGACCACACATTGATGTTTCTCTCTCTCTCTTTCTCCCTCCCTTCTCTCTCCAAAAAATAAATAAATAAAATCTTAAAAAAAAAAAACCAAGACAACAGAAACCATGACTTACTGATAGCTGCAGCTCCCCCAGAAATGGGATCGTAAACCCATTAAACAGGAATCACCGGGTCAGCATTCATTAGACCCCTGCCATCCATTAAAGACGTGTAGTAACTGCCCTGGCTGGTGTGGCTCAGTGGATTGTGTGCTGGCCTATGAACCGGAGGGTTGGGGGTTCGATTCCTTGTCAGGGCACATGCCTGGTTGTGGGCCAGGTCCCCAGTTGGGGGCACGTGAGAGGTAACCACACATAGATGTTTTCCTCCCTCCCTTTCCTTCTGTCTAAAAATAATATAATGTTAAAAAAAAAGATATGCAGTAACCAACCTTGCACTAAACAAGCTGGGTTTGTTTTGCATAGCTACTTCCTTGTTCCCGCCCCTCTACCCATAAACTCCTTCATCGCTCACAGCGCCTCAGAGCCCCTTCCTCTGCGCGGGATTGGATGCTGCTCGATGCACGAATAGCGGAATGGAGCCAGTAAGATCTTTAAGATCTACCCTGGCTGGCGTAGCTCAGTGGACTGAGCTTGGGCTGCGAACCAAAGTGTCGCAGGTTCGATTCCCAGTCAGGCCACATGCCTGGGTTGCAGGCCACGGCCCCCAGCAACGGCACATTGATGTTTCTCTCTCTCTCTCTCTTTTTTCCTCCCTTCTCTCTCTAAAAATAAATAAATAAATAAAATCTTTAAAAAAAAGACCTTTGAGATCTACTCAGCTGAATTCTGTTTTTCAGCACGTGCTAAGTGTCAAAGCTCATGCTCTTTGATGACTTCGTGCCCCACTCCCACTCCTGCGCTGTGAGAGAAAGGACCTGCTAGGGTGGCTGCCTGTCATCCCAGCAGCCCGGGACCCGGGGCCGGCAGATCCCCTGCAGCCAGCCCTGGGAAGCTGCGCGGGGCATGCGGGTGGGGCTGGGGGACCCTGCATGAGTCACTTCTCCCCCCCACCACAAGTCCCTCTGAGTGCACAGGAGCACGTTCACCAGGAGGGAGCTGACCTTCTGGCCTCAGGCCTTGGCTCCGTCTCCCCGTGCGGATGGGTTGCTGAGAGCACCTGTCCTGAAAATCCCTTCCTGAGTAGGAAGGGCAGTGACTCAGCCCCACGTGGAGGGGCCCTGCTGGAGACCACCTGCCCCTAGGGTCTCTATCCCAGGGGACCCACTGCCACCGTGGGCCCCCCCCCAGCCTCCTGATGGGCGCCTGGGCCCGGCCGCGGCTGTGCCTGTCCTGGTCTCTGACGCCCCCAGAAGAAGAGCTGAGCCCACGGAGAGCCAGGAGTTTGGGGGGATCCCAGGGGCAAATCCGCCAACCCCACCCACTACCGTGCCTGAGAGCCCGTTAGCTGCCCCGCTCTACGGCTGAGGCACGGGCCAGAGGGCACCAGGCCCCGTGCTCCGGCCAGCACCGCCGGCCTCCCTGTGACTGTGGGCGGGGTGCTCAGCCTGCCAGAGTCTCCGTGTCAGCCATCAGTCCCGCCTGCAGAGAGAGGGCGTGGGGAGGGGGCTGGGGAAAGGGGCTGTGACCTGCAGGTGAGCTGGCTATTATTCATGCAGCTCCCCTCGTGGGGCGGGGCGGGCTCTCCACGTTCTTGTAACTCAGGCGGCCCAGCTGCTGCTCCGTGCTCAGAGGGGCTGGGGCCTCACGCTGGGGCCGGCTGCGGGAGGGGGAGGGAGCAGGAGAGGGGGCACCCCCAGAAGGGCGGACTGAGGTGGGTGCCCAGTGGTAGGGGGCAGGTTCATGGCTGCCAGTGTAGGGGTCGGGGTAAACCTGGGGCCTGCCGTGGGCCGTGCAGCCTTGGCCACGTTCCCTCCCCTGGGGCCTCAGAGCCCCCAGGAATCCGTGGATCTGGGTTTGGACCTCTGCGAGGCCTCCGCCAGGGTCCGTGGGAGGGAGACGCTTGGCCCTGGACCCAGGGCCCCGCCAGGCACAGAGTCAGTAGCACGCAAACCCGGGCGTGGGGAGCTCATTCCTGTCGCCTGCGGCCCTGTCCTTAGAACATTCTGACGGGTGGCCAGTAGCCGGGCTGATGTCCCTGCACAGCCACTGGGACAGGCCGGCAGACTCCTCAACCAGTTAAGCTGGACTGCAGACACTTTCTCTCCCAAGTATTGCCATTGCCCCCCCCAACCCTCCACCTTCCATCTTTGGGGAGGGCGCCCAGGGCGGGCATGGCACCCAGCGAAGCGAGCGTGTGCCGGAACCAGGCCTGTTGTCCTGGCGATGGCTCGTGTCCCGGGCACCCATGGGGGCAATTAGTCAGTGTGGGCGGGGGGTTTCCATGGCGGCAGCCCCGAGGGGTTGCAGCAAGGCATCGGGAGGGGACGAGGGCCGGCGGGACCTTTCTTCTTTGTCCCGGACACACTGGGCCTTTGTCCCCGCCTGGCCGGCCGGCCTCTCTGTGCAAACAGGACCAGGATCACGGGTGGGGTGTGGACTTGGGTTAGAGCCACTCTCCCCCGGGGGCGGCTCCTGAACCGGCCTTGGGAAGAGGCAGAACAGGGGATAAGCCCCACTTCTGGGCCCAGCATCCGCTTAGGGATCCCTCTTCCCACAGGTGCCACCCGCCCCTGAGAGGCTGAGCAAGACGGCCTACCACTGGGTCCTGTTGCTGGTAAACACCTTCCAGCAGCCCATGGGCAGCCCTGGTGTGTCTGGTGGACCCAGGGCCGGCCAAGGAGAGGCGGGGCTATGAGGGGCGGTGGGCTGCAGGGAGAGGGGAGGGTGGGGGGCCGCTGGTCTCAGGTTAGGGATGGAGAGGGAGGGCCTTTGATCCGACTCCAGCCAGGGTTCTGCTCAATCAGACTTTATTCCGGGCCTCCGAGGCGTCCTCTGGGGTCCCCTAGCCCAGCCGGCTGCCCAGACCCCCATGCTGCTGCAGCGGGCTGCCCCTGGGGTTGCAGTGGGACAGCTCTGCGGGCTACCGGTGGGCCCGGGCCCCCGCACCCACCCCTGCCCGTGACCTTCCCCCACCCCGGGCCCGGCCTGGTCTGCGGTGAGGAACGAGTGAAGAAAACAAGATGGAGTCAGTCTAGCTAAGCCGACTCAGAATGGCGCCGGTGTCGCCTGGCTGGCACGGCGGGTTCGCGAGGAAACTATTTACTTTAGCCCGAGGAGTTCAACTTTTGAACTTTTCATTTGCGCGTCAACGCCCGGAGATTCATAAATCCCTCCGCACGGGACTCCGGAAAAAGTGAAGAACGCAGGAAGGAATGCTCGCGTGCGCCCAGACCGCCCGGTGCTGGAACGCGGCGGCCGTCCGCTGCGGGCCCAGAGCGGGGACGCGCGCGGGGCGGCTCCTCCTGAGGCCGGACCTCTCACTCCGGGACTCTCTGCCGCCTTTCCTCTTCGAGACTCGCCGGGCACCGCCTGGTCGGGCTCCTGGTGTGCAGGCCCCAAGCATTTTGAACAAATCGTCCTCACGTTTGTAGCCAGCGCCTCCTGGTTCGTGCGCCCCAGGCGATGCACAGGGCGGCTGGGCCCCTAAACCCCGGCGACCAAGGGCGGCGCCCGTCCGTGAGGCGGCGTCGGCTGGGCAGGCGGGTGGGGTCCGTGGTGGTGGTGGTGGTGGGACCCTCAGAACCGGGTGTCCAAGAAGGAGGTGGAGCCTCGATGGGACCTGGGGGGGCCCTCGATCGGGGGGCCCTTGGACCGAGTCAGGAGCCCGTGGAAAGTCTTGCCTCGGGTCTGGGGCTTGCGCCGAGGCGGCCTGGGCTCCTCCGGGGGCTGCACCACGATGCGGGGCACCTCGGGCCTGGCGCTGCCCCGCGCCCCGGCCAGCTGCTGGGCCTCGAAGATGGCCTGGGCCCCGGCCAGGCGGGCCTTCGGTCGAGGGGGCGGCCCGGACGTGGACTCCGGCAGCTGGGCCAGCTGGGTCTTGATCTCCCGCTGCAGGTCCTGCTCCGACAGGGCCACACCGTGTACCTGCGGGGAGCGGGGGTGCCGAGTTCGCCCGGACTGCCAGACGGCAGGAAGCCACGAGGCCCCCCGCCACAGGGTGGGGGGGGCGGCAGCAGCGCACAGCCCCAGGAAGTGGCTAAGGAAAGCCGGAGCGTAGCGAGCCCCGCGAGGCCTGGGGCTTTCACATTCGCTGCTGCTCGGAGGATAGGACCTGAGCGCTGGTTCTCACGCCGACTTCCAGCTCTGGGACTCGGTTTCCCCAACCGTGCAGCCATGGGGTGGGGGGGGGGGTTGGGCAGAGCACCCACCTGGGACATGAAGGCCTCCTCCTGCAGCTGGGCAGGGGGGACGGCTCGAAGGGCGCCGAGCGTCTCCAGGAGCCCCGGGCAGGCCAGGCGCTGCTCCGCGGTGCCCAGCGCCAGGCGCACCAGCGTCAGCCCCACGCGGAACAGCACCTTGACACCTGCGGAGCGGGCGCTCACTCAGCGGGACGGGCCCCGCCCTTCCCCGGCTCCGCGCCTGAATGCACGCGCCCTCCCTGCCGGGTTCCTCCCACCCGCCCTCCCGTGGCTCTGCAGCCACAGCCCAGCCAGCAGCAAGGCCTGACAGGAGGGGTGCCGCTCGGGGCCCCCGGTAAGCATGTCTCAGCAGCCGCAGACGCTCCCTCCCGGGCAGAGCGGCCTGCCAGGAGCCCAGGGCGACTGGCAACTGCACGCCACGCCCCCTCTCTCCGGGCCTCAGCTCTGTGTCCCTGTGAGCAAGGGCTCGGGGCTGGGGGCGGGGGGCTGCCCACGAAGGCCCTTCCAGCTCGGATCTGTGACTGTCTGGTTCTGGAGATTTCTGGCTGGAGCCCCGCATCCCTAAGCCAAGAGCAGGGTGCACACGGGCGCAACCTTGGGCCACCCTCAGCACCCCTGCCAGGCAGCCTGAGGTCTGCTGGGCAGAGCAGCCAGGGGGCCAGCGGGCTGGCAACAACTGTTACTTGTAAAGGGATGACAGGGACCGCTGGCCGCGTCTTTCTGAAAGGGAGCCCAGGGCAGCGCTTGTGTCTGCGGAGAGGGCGGGGATCGCTCAGCCGCCCCATCGGGCTCCACCCCGCCCGGCCCCGGAGGCCAGAGGCTGGAGGGGAGGTGACCCATGACCCACGGATGGCCACTCGGACACCCACACACGGCCAGAGCTCTAAGCCAGCCTGCAGCCGACTCGGCACACAGCAGGTGCTCAATAGACACCGGTTGATCCCTCCCACACGTGTAGGTGCCACTGCTGGACAGCCGCTAGGGAACGGGATGCAGGTGGGTCACTGATGGAGGAACTCCCCCGGCCTTGGCCTGGCCCAGGCGCCCACCTCTCTCCACGCCCACGCCCCCAAGTCATCTGTGGTCTGGACCCCGCAGCAGGCTCCTGCCCGGGCTCCCAGCACGCACCCGCCCCAGCGCATCCCCCCTTCCGAGGGGCACCGCAAGCATCTTTGAAAGCAGCAGCCCCTTCCTGCCATTCCCCTGACTCTCACTCATGTCCTTGCTTTGTTTTCCTTGTGGTACTGGTGATAATCTATATATATATTATTAACTTTGTTGCATTGCCTTCCATCCCGCCCCCCCAGAATGTCAGTCTGTTCGCTCAGGTGGCCCCAGTGTCCAGGGCAACCCCTGGCACCAGTGGGCGAGCCCCAAGTAGGCACTCGGGCTCCAGGAGGAGGGCCTCGGCCTCTGGCCGTGCCCCCGCGGTGCCAGCACCCGTGCCCCGGCACTGCTGAGATCTCCCCAGGTCCTGCCCCGTCTCCCTGGAGGGAGCCTCCGTGGCTCCAGCCTGCCCCCGGGCAGAGGCTGCCCTCTCTGTGGTGGTCCCACCGCATGGGGCGGGGGCTGCCATTCCTTACCCCCCAGGGGGCGTGGCCTGGGGGCTGGGCTGTTTCCCCAGAGTGGACGGGGCGCCCTCAGCACACCCGGACCCCAGACCCCGGGCCAGGACTGGCGGTGGCAGGCAGCTCCCTGAGCACACAGACTACCCAAGAAAGACTCCCCACCCGCCCGGGGCCCCCACTCACCCTCACTGAGGAAGGCGTCCCAGACGCGCAGCACCGTGGGGAAAGGCAGGGAGCGGGCGAAGAGGCACAGGAACCACTCGGGCAGGTAGAGCAGGGGCCCGACGCCCACCTGCTGCAGGTGTTTGTGCACTCGAGGGAGCAGCCGCCGCAGCAGGGCCATGAACACCTCGGCGTCCAGCCGCACGGCCTCCTGCAGCCGTGTCAGTCAGCACTGCCCTTCTAAAGCCCCGGCTCTGCCCCCCTCTAGCCCCGTCCGCCTGCCCTGCCCAGCCCCACCCCCGTGCCCCTGCCCCACCCCACCTCTCACCATGTGGGGCCCATAGTAGCCAGGCAAGTAGAGCTCGCAGATCTGCACCAGGCACCAGAAGGCCTCCTGGGGGCAAAGCACAGGCCGTGAGCGCCTGCCACGGAGGGGCCCGCAGGGCGGGCAAAGGGGCGGCTCTGGACACCGTCTGCAGTGACTCTGGAGCCCACTGAACCCAAAGCCGCCCCACGCCCTGACAGAGACCCACCAGTGGGTTTAGGCGGTTGGAAGTCACAAGGTTCAGGGGATTGAATTTGAGGGTCACAGGGTTGGGTTCACTGAGCAAAGGTTGGGAGGATCCCAAAGTTCAAGTTCAAAGTTCAAGTTCTGGGTTCTTAGGGTCATCGGGTCAGGGATCATGATCACAGGGTTCAGAATCAGGAGTCATGAGGTCAAGTGATAACATCCAGACTCTGAGATCACTGGGCAAGGGGCAAAGGTAAAGGGTCCCAGGTCCCTGGAGTCAGGGTTGTAGGGTTGGAGGTGGCTGAGGCTGGCAGTAACGAGGCCTGGGTCACCAGGGCAGGAGCTGGGAGTCAAGGATCCCAAGTCCCTGAGGTCAGACTTCCTGGGGTTAGGGGGTCATGGGTCCAGGTCACAGGATTACTAGGTCCCAAGATCTCTAGGGTTGGGGCTCAAGGATCCCAGATACCTGAATCCAGAGTCCCTGGGGCTGGGGGTCACAGGTCACGGGGGCTGGGGGTCAGGGTCTTGGGTCCCTAGAGCAGGGTGGAGGGCACTCACCTCTGGGGGCAGGTGCATGAGCAGCACGGCAGCCACGGGGCCCTGGGCCTGGCAGTAACCCTGCTCCGGCCGATACAGGGTGTAGGCCTTGAGTACTTGCAGGAGACCCTGCTGCCTGTGCCGGAAGACCCCATTAGGGGACAGGCCCTCGGCCACCCCTTCCCCACCCGCTGGCAGCCTCTGCCCAGGTCTCACGGCTCCCCACCCCAGCCTTTCTGGGTCCCCCGAAATGCAAAAACATAAAGCTGGGGTGGGGAGGCGTGGCTGGCCCAACAACTGGGGTCGTGAGGCTGGGGGGTCCCTGGGCATCACTGGCCTCGTACCCGTGACCCTGGGGTGACACAAACATCTCGTGCAGAGGGAACTGGCGGTGCAGGTCCCTGCCGATGGTCTCCATCCACTGTGGGTCTCCTGGGGCCTCAGCCAGTTCCTGTGGGTGTGTAGGAAGCTAGGGGTTAGGGCTCTGAGGGGCAAGGGGCTCTGGGCAGGGGAGGTGGGACCCCCTGCCAACTCCTTTACCTGGTAAGTACCCGGGTTGTTCTTCTGACACACGTGGGCCCCGCACAGCAGGGGCCAGCACCGGGCACGCAGGGCTGAAGGGATGCCCTTCCGGCACTGCATCTTTACCTGCAGAGGAGGCCGAGGTCCCGTTAGGCCAACCGGGCCAGCCTCCCCTGCCCCTCTGGGCAGGCACCGAGCCCAACTTTTCATCGGGCAAGGGCCACTTCGGGCGGTAGGGAGAAAAGGCAGGAAGTGCTGGGACCCAGGAATGGTCCATGTGGCCTGGGCCTGGACCAAGGCAAAGGAGGATGAGCCACGGTCCCGCTCACCTTCTTGTACCTCCGAGACATGGTCTTCTCCCAGTGCGAGGTCATCTCCACCCACTTCATCTCCCGCTGGCGGATGAGGTCCACGGAAGGGCACCCGGGCCTGGGAGCACATGGCACCGACATGCAGTGCAGGGCAGCTGTGACCTAGAGCCCACGTCTGCCACGCTCATGCAACCCGGGTAGCCCCTGGGGGGGGTGACCTGTCACCCAGGAGTTGCCAGTGGTTGTCATGGGGACAGGAAAGGATGTGGCTCTGATGTGGGCAGAAGCAGGAAAGACTGATGGGGGTGTGTAGGTGTGAGTTGGGGGAGGGGCTGGTTGGCAGTCCCCGGGGACCGGGATGCAGACAACTCCTGGAGGACGCTGGGCGGACAGAGCCCTGCGCTAGAAGCCGGGAGGCCTGAGTTTGAGTCTGGTCCTGTCGCTGAGCTGCTGCGTGACCCCAGGCAAGTTCCTTTGTGTCTCTGGACTTGTTATACCGCCTGCGTCTCAGGAAAGTGGGTGGTGGGGGGAAAGAGTGTGTGTTCTATGATTTAGATTCGGGGCTCTTGGGCCAGAGATGAAAAGGGGAAGGATGTTTGGCTCCAAGGGTAGGTGCAAACGAACCCTTGGAGGTTAGGGGTAAAAGAGACACACTTGGACACCTTACCCCAGCCCTGCCCTCCTTAGGGCTCTACCTGGAGCCCGAGGAGGGGTAACACTGGCTGAGTTCCCAGGCCCTCCCAAGACCCTGGAGGTTGGGCCTCACTCTAAAATTCAGCCCTCAGCCCCCCCCCTCAAGTCCCAGCACCCTGCACCCAGTCGGGGCACCCTTCCCCACTTACCCCGGCTCTGCTGAGCTGCCCCCAATGAAGCCGTAGCGGTCGGCCCGGCGATATGGGCCCGGTCCGTTCAGCTCTGAGTCAGACCCCAGAGAGCTGGAGTCATCCTGCAGCTCACCGGGCTGTACCAGGTCCTCGCCCAGGGCCTGGGCCATGGTGCCCCAGACCCCCGATGCCACGGGCTGCAAGGTGTGGGGAGAGCCAGTGTGAGAGGCAGCTGCTCCCGGCCAGCCCGGGGCCTGGGCTCCCATGGGCCAGTCCTCAGCCCCAGAACCCAGAGGGAGGAGGTCTCAGGGCATTTCATCAAGACCCTTCTGTGCCCTCTTCTGGAGGGGGTTAGGCCCTGAAGTGGCGAAGAGGCCACGTTCTGTACAGAGACCCAGCCCCAGGCCCGGCCCCCCAGCCCCGTTAGCCCGGCTTACCTCCCTGCCGCACCTCACCTCCTCTCACTTCCTCCTCAGCCACAGCTTCAACCACCCGCCCGGGGGCCCCTCCCTGTGTGTTTGGGGGGGTCACCCCTTCCTCCCGGAGGCTCTTCCGGCCTACCCCAGTGCCCCTGGGCCATGGGCTCCTCCCACCCACCCCAAGACTGGGAGGCTTGTGTTTCTGCACCGGGTGTGATGGGGCTGGGCCTGCCAGAGGGAGAGGGGACAGGCTCCCTCCAGTTTTGAGGATACTGGCATGTAAAACACTCAAGGAAGATACATTAATCTTGTAAAGATTTTATCTTTAGAGAGAGAGGAAGGAAGAGAGAAAGAGAGAGAGAAACATCAATGTATGAGAGATACATCAGTCAGTTGCCTTTTGCATGCCCCCAACGGAGGACCTGGCCCACAACCCAGGCATGTGCTCTGACTGGGAATCGAACCGGTGACCTTTGGGTTCACAGACTGGCACTCAACCCACTGAGCCACACCAGCCAGGGTGGAATTGTAATTATTTAATGTTTGCTCTTTACAAAGTAATACTTTCAACATAAACAAAATGCAACATTTTTATGCAACTCAAAAGGCAATGGTGGGGCTATAAACATTAATTCAGATTGCACCACAGGCAGCCTGAACCAAAACGGCCCCCGAGTTCTGCAGTCTGGGTCTGGTCGGCGACCAGGGGGGGCGCAGAGATGCAGGTGGTAGAGGTCCTCAGAGAATGTCAGACAAGCCCCTTGCTAACTCTAGGTCTCCTTTTCTGCACTTGAAGGACTGAACCCAGCGTTTGGGGAAGCGATTATCAAGGTGCTCACACCGGGTGGGAGGGGCTGCTCAGCCACTGAAAAAGAAAAACAACTTCCTCAGTGCTTCCGGTCCCGTGTCTTCCGAAAGCGGCTGGGTAATCCCACAGCGGCTGAACCGGACTCTGCCAGCTTCCACAAAGTCACGCCCACCGGCCAGGCCCCGCCCCAGGCACACACAGCCCCGCCCCGTCGCCGAGGCCCCGCCTCCCGGGGCTCCACGGCCGCTGCGCCCGGGGTCCAGCGGAGGCGCTATGGAGCCGGGGCAGCAGGCCGGGAGCGAACGGGGCGGGGCGGACCGGGGAGGGCGGAAGGAGCGCCAGGCCGGAAGGAGGCGGCGGAGGGCGGGAGGCAAGAGCGGGTCCGGAGCTACTGGGCCGGAGCGGCAGAGCCGCCATGTCCGACAGCGAGAAGCTCAACCTGGACTCTATCATCGGGCGCCTGCTGGAAGGTTGGCTGGGGGCGGGGGAGGTCGGCGCCCGCCGCGCCCTGACCCCCGGCCCGGCCCGGAAGTGGCGCGCGGGCGCGTCTGCCCCTCCCAGGGCCAGCTTAGACGGGGCGGGGACGGGCCCGCGAGGTCCCACGGCCGCAGCCGCCCCCCACTCGCGACGCGCCTGGGAGTCTGGGGCTGCTGGGGTACGGGGGCAGCCCCCCTCTCCTGGGCTGGGGTCGCACGGGTTGGCCTGGTTTCTTGGAGTGAGGAACAAACATGAGAAACCTAGCCACCCCCCCACACCCCGGGAAAGGGTCCTGCGCTGTGGGGTTCGGGGTGGCAGCCCCTGCCTCAAGTCCCTTAGAGCGCCTTGAGGGTAGTTGGGGAGGTTACCTCCTGCCCTGGGAGGCTCAGCAGCACCATCTGCCCCAGCAAGGAGGGGCCCACGAGGCCCTGGCACTCCCAGAAGTGCCCATGGGGCACCCGTGTCGCCCACCCTCCTCCAGCTGGAGGGACCAGGGTCCTGACGCCCATTCTGCCTCCAGTGCAGGGCTCGCGGCCTGGAAAGAATGTACAGCTGACAGAGAACGAGATCCGTGGTCTGTGCCTCAAATCCCGGGAGATTTTCCTGAGCCAGCCCATCCTGCTGGAGCTGGAGGCGCCCCTCAAGATCTGCGGTGAGACCCCTGCCTGGGCCCCCTTGCTTCCCGAAGGTGGCAGTGGCCTCCCAAATCCTTGGATCCTTGCCTTGAACCCAACCCTGGCCGTGGGTTCAAGTCTAGCCCCTGCACCCGGTGCTGACCTGGTTCCCTGGGTCACAGGTGATATCCATGGCCAGTACTATGACCTTCTGCGGCTATTCGAGTACGGGGGCTTCCCTCCGGAGAGCAACTACCTCTTCCTGGGGGACTATGTAGACCGGGGCAAGCAGTCGCTGGAGACCATCTGCCTGCTCCTGGCCTATAAGATCAAGTACCCGGAGAACTTCTTCCTGCTCCGTGGGAACCACGAGTGTGCCAGCATCAACCGCATCTACGGCTTCTATGATGAGTGTGAGTGGCTTCATGCCCGGGCTGCCCCAGGCCTGAAGAGCTCTGCTTGCTATTTAGTGGGACTCTCACAGTGGTGGATGGTGGTTGGGGAGCATCCGTGTGTGACGGATACCTGCCAGACTGAACAGTGTGGAGGCAGGGTCCATCCTGCCTGCCTGCCATGGGGTCTGGCCCCCAGCAGGGGTATGCTGAAGGGCTGTTCACATTCTAATGCAGGGCCCTGCCTGGTGACACTCCCTCTGGCGCATCTGTTACCTAAACACTTAGGATGCCTAGCTGGACGGGGCTGCTGTGGCCAGAAGCTGAGATGTACCGGACCTGGTCTCGGCCCGGTCCTGTTCATAGGGTAGGGGTGGGTGTCAGCCCTGATATCGTTCTGGATCGGAACTCGCGGCTTCCGTGGATGCAGCTGCTGTGAATTCCTCCTGAAGGCTGGGAGGCAGTGGGGGGGTTAGGGTTAGGGGAGATTCGCTCCTTGCCTTCCACACTCTTCTCCCAGCTGTGTCTGGGAGGCCCCAGAGGCCTCGTCACAAGCCGTCCCCTCCCTCTGCGCAGGCAAGAGACGCTACAACATTAAATTGTGGAAAACCTTCACTGACTGCTTCAACTGCCTGCCCATCGCCGCCATCGTGGACGAGAAGATCTTCTGCTGCCACGGAGGTGAGAGCGGCTCTGGGGCACCTGCTCAGGGGATTCACGGGGAGAGAGGCTGGGCCACATCCTGAGGCCGAGGGAAGAAGCTGGCAGCTGGAGGCCGGTTCTCGGTCACCTGGGACGGCCCTCCCTGCCTGGGGTCCGGGCTTGGATGTCACTTACTGCAGGATATTCCCCTGCTCCCCAGTGTTGGGTTGCACTGTCCGCTGCCGTGGCCTCAGCACTGTGCGCAGGATTTGCTTGTTCTCTTTCTCTAGGGAGCTCTGTGCTCCCGGGGGCGGGGACTGGGAGAGGCAGAAGGCGCAGAATTCCGCCTGCCTGGGCTCCCAGAAGTCCAGGAGAGGATCTGGGGGCTGGGGACAGAGGCTGACTGGCCAGGGCTTTCTGCGGGGAGGAGTCCCCTTTGTGAGGCTTGAGGAAGTGATGTGCCATGTGTGCGCCCCCCAGGCCTGTCCCCAGACCTGCAGTCCATGGAGCAGATCCGCCGCATCATGCGGCCCACAGACGTGCCTGACCAGGGGCTGCTGTGTGACCTGCTGTGGTCTGACCCTGACAAGGACGTGCAGGGCTGGGGCGAGAACGACCGTGGCGTCTCTTTCACCTTCGGGGCCGAGGTGGTGGCCAAGTTCCTGCACAAGCACGACCTGGACCTCATCTGCCGGGCACACCAGGTGGGCTGGGGCTCTGGCCCCGGGTGGGATTGGGGCCTGGGCAGCTGGCACCCGCTCAGTGACCTGCCCCGCCCTCGTCCAGGTGGTGGAAGATGGCTATGAGTTCTTTGCCAAGCGACAGCTGGTGACACTCTTCTCGGCTCCTAACTACTGTGGCGAGTTCGACAACGCAGGCGCCATGATGAGCGTGGATGAGACGCTCATGTGCTCTTTCCAGGTGGGGACACGTGGAAGGGGTGGCTTGCCCTCACGGCTTGGCCCCATGAGCCTGACCAGTGCTCTCTTTTAGATCCTCAAGCCCGCCGACAAGAACAAGGGGAAATACGGGCAGTTCAGTGGCCTGAACCCTGGCGGCCGGCCCATCACCCCACCCCGTAACTCCGCCAAAGCCAAGAAATAGCGTCTGCGCGCCTGCCCTCTGCCCCGGATGGTGGCTTGTACAGAAACCACACAGTTGTGGGAGTCACGCTGGCCTCCTGGCCCTGCTCGTCACAGGGAACGTGGAGCCTTGGTGTATTCTGCTTTTTTTTTTAAGAACAAATCAATAGCAGCGTCCAGTCCCCCAGGGCTCCCTCTGCCTGTGCCTTGGTGGCTACAAGCAGGATCCTGGGGCTGAGGCTGCAGCTCAGGGCAAAGCAGGGCCAGGTTGTGGGTCTCCAGCCTTGCTTGGCCTCAGGGCTGGCAGCTGCATCCTGGGCAACCCATCTGGTCTCTTTAATAAAGGTCAAAGCTGGATTCTTGCCCTGGCCTGTCTCCCTTGTCCTGAACACTGGGCCTGGCATCCTTCTGCCCAGAGCCACTTGGGAGGGCAGGCTTGCTGGACACAAGGCCCCAGCCAGGGCAACCCCAACCGTATGGTAAGGCCCACGGGGCCTCCTAGAATTCCCGGCTGGGGCCAAAGAATCTTGAAAAAAGGCAAGAACAGCAGTCCGTCGGCCATAGCAGATCCCAGAGGTAAGCCCAGGATTGGGGGAGGGGCAGGTCATGATTGGCAGACAAGGTGGGTTGGCATGGGCCAGCAGGCTCGCTGTGATTCCTTTTCTTAGGGGAGACAGGTGTGTCCAGCTTGGGCCACAAGGTTGGAAGGTGGACCTCCCTTCAGGGCCAAGCCTGGAAGCAGACATGATTGGTGGGCGGTTGGGAGGACCTGGACAAGGCCTAGGCCAGTTTCCAATAGCCACTCAGGGCACGGGGACACACACAGCAGGACCAGCCAGCTCAGCTGCAGCCCAGCCCACCTGTCCCACCACCAGGGCAGAGACCCAGCCCTGCCCCGGCCAGCCCAGAGACGCGGGAGGCTGTGGCTTCACGAAGCCCACGGCCCCCAGACACAGAAGAGGTTCTCGGTTCAGCCTTCGCCCTCACTGTCTTCAGCCAGCACGGGGCTGGGGTGCAGCGGGGAGTGTTCGGGGGCCAGGATGGAGCCAAAGAACAGCGAGCGGAACTGGAAGAGAAGGACGCCGGTGAGCTGTGCAGACCGTTCCCTCCGGCCTCCCAGCCCCCGTCCCTGCCCCGGGCCCCTACCTTCTTGGGCGGGGGGGTCCCGGGCACTGTACTGAGCTCAGCTTCAGCTTCATCTTCCTCCTCCTCCGAGTGGCAGGGGGGCTGGAGGCCAGGTGAGAGGGAAATGGACGGGAGTGTCCGGGAGCTCTCACTGCCCACAGTGGTTTCCATGGCGATCATGTACGAGTCAATGTCGTCACTGGCGAAGTCATCCAGGTGTGGGGTGCTGCAAGTAGACATGAGGTCAGCGGAGAACAGGGCAAGGAGGCAGGGGGCAGAGCCCACCTTGGAGGCCTGGGGTGGGGGTGGTGCTGTGGGGGCCTCATGACCACTGGTGATGTCTTAGTTTTATTACTTGCTTCCTGATCTGGTTGGAGGAGGATACAGGGATCAAGTGGCAGTGTCCTGGCGGGGGCGGGCCTGGAATCATTCGGTCACAGGGTAGGTGGGGGCCAGTTTAGCTCAGCTGGGGGAGGGGTGCAGCAAGTCTGGTGAGCTGGGCCACTTGGAGCCCAAGCCCCTGCCTTCCCCACGGCACGGGAGCTGGAGAGCACTAGGGCCCAGGGACCTGCTGGGCGAGGGGCCAGACCCAACTTCCTCTGCTTAACTATACTGGGCCCATCCTCCCCAACCCACCTGCCCTTCCAGCCACCTGCTTCCCACCCCGAGCAGCCCCTTGCCTCCAGCAGCCCCCTTTGCCTCCTTGCCTGGGAGGCAGCTCAGAGGGGAGGCCTCAGCCAGAGAAAGCTAGCCTGACCTTGGGGATACTTCCCTGGGTGGGAGGGATCTCTGAGCGCAGCTGACCAGGAAGGCTGGGCCCGTGGGGCTGGGAGCCGTGAGCGCTGCAGGGGCCGGGGCCTTACAGGAAGTGTGTGTCTGCAGAGGGGGAGGCACGGAGGCTGGGAGCAGCGGGCACAGGCCAGGGTGCGCAGAGGTGAGGATGGGAGTGGCCCGGTGGGGGACCCTCACCTGTGAGCCTGGAGCTGAGGCGCTGGCCGGCGGGCCTCTAGGGAGAGTAGGTCCTGGGAGTTTGGGGGTGGATCCGAGAGCGTGGCCAGGACAAAGTGGCCATCCAGCAGAGAGTCATTGATGGCAAAGATGGCTGGCCTGGGCAGGGGATGGATGGGCCCCGGACAAGGTAAGGGCCCTGTGGCTCCTGGCACCCCAGCGCCCTCCCCTCCCTGTCCTGAGGCTGGGAATTACCTGCCCGGGGTATCGAAGTGAATGCTAAGAGACAAGTTTGCTGACTCTGCGAAGCTCAGGAGCCCCTGGGAGGGGAGAGGCAGGGCAGTTGAGGCCCTGGGCAGGGCAGGGCAGAGCAGCATAGGGCGGACAGGGTGGGAAGGACGGGGGGAGGCTCACCCGGAACTCTTTGAGGCAGAAAGTGATGGCCACCCCTTCCTGGGCCTGCAGCTGCTGGAAATCCTCCTCCCCAATGCTCATCTCCGTCACCATGGCTTTGACGGTGCTGTCTGGGGGCGAGAACAGGAAGAACCCGGGCCCGTGGGTTCCGGCCCCTCCCGCCCCGGCCCTGCTGCCCACCCCAGGCCTCGTCCTGCCCCCTCACCTGCCTCCTCATCCTGGTAGCTGCGCAGGATGACCCTGCGGCCACGGCCGATGCCCAGCGTCACTTCAGCCAGTGCAGGGGGGAAGGGCAGAACAGCCTCCCCCAGAACCCTGTGGAGAGGGCACGGCATTACCCCCAAGGCCCGGCCCTGCCCGGCGGCTCTGCTCTCGGAGGACCTGAGGCAGGGCAGCCACGAGTTTGCCAGCATCGCGGGGGCACAGCCATGGGCCAGGCCTAGCGCGCCCCAGGGAGGAGGACACGCCCCACCAGAAACCCCCAGGCTGGTGCGGGAGTGAGGGCCACCGCAGAGGACAGGCAGACAAGCCCGGAGAAGGCAGCGGGACGGATGGGGCTGCGCCAGGCAGGCAGCACCTGCCCATCCGGGGCCGGGAAACCACATCCATGCCGTCCTTATAAACTTGACCTTCAGGAAGAGCTCTTACGTTCTTGTTTTTTTAGGCATGCACGGGTGACAGTTACAAATGACGTAACAATCTAGTATTAGCCTCAAGACAGCTGGGGCAGGAGCTGGCATCTGCTTTTATTTTATTTTTTTTAATTTTATTTATTTTCAGAGAAAGGGAGAAAAACATCAAGGTGTGGTTGCCTCTTGTGCACCTCCTACTGGGGACCTGGCCTGCAACACACGCAGGTGCCCTGACTGGGAATCGAACCAGCGACCCTTTGGTTCCCAGGCTGGCACTCAATCCACTGAGCTACACTAGCCAGGGCTGGCATCTGCTTTTATAGGTACTTAACACTATCCATGAGAAAAAGAGAAGTACTCATTAAAAGAGAAATAGCTTCAAAATCCAGACCAGAAATGACAGCCTTTCCTCTTTACTCAAAGGAGCCCTAAGCAGCACTATCGAGAGAACTTAGAAAATCAGTCTGTAGACACCCAAAGGGAACTTCACATTACCATAACCTATGACTATCCAAAGAAATGAACAAGACCTTGCACTACTTGGATGCCAAGAGCATGCAGCACAGGCGGGAAGGGGGCCACTCCTCTGCCCTGGTCTTTGCCGGGGGCCCGTGCCAGCACTGGAGACCCTGTCTCCCAGGCCAGGCACAGCCCCGGGTGGTTGGATTGCCCAGAATAGTTCCAGCCCCAGAGCGGCCTGTTTCAACCGTCGTCCCAGGCCACGACCTCCTCCCCCAGCCTCCTGCCTTGTCCTGAGGGCTCCTCAAGGCTAGAGACAGGGTAGGTAGGAAGAGGGGCACCCTGGAATGAGGAACACGCCCTGAAGGATAACCAAGCCAAAGAGGTTTTGAGCCCCCGAGCCATGAAGCTTCATGACAGACCTTCACGGCTGCTCAGGCCAAAGACCTGCTCTCTAGAAGAGAAGTCGGGATGGATCTGACTGTCCAGGACGCCAAGCCGGACACTTGGCGTGGAGCCTACAGCCAGGGAGCCCCTCCCCTCCTCCGCTCAGCCTCTTCCCGTGAAGAGCCAGGCAAGGGCTGGTGAACGCGGAGGCTCACACAAGCCCTGCAGGGGAAATGGTAGAGGTGCTTTCTTAAGCTGACCCTTGAGGCCCCAAAGAAGGAAGACGGAGACCCGGGGCTCGGCTTTCGGACAGGGGGCGTATACTTACTTTGCCGAGGCCCGGAGCACGTGGGGGCACGAGGCTGGATCGAAGACAGCCTGCAGGGACTCACAGTCCTGGAAGGACAGGTTGTGAGTCTTCCTCACCCCTGGACAGGCAGACAGGGTCTCAGAGGGCCTCGCCAACCTCCGCCCTCACACCCCAGGGCCCCCTGGCTGGCTCGCTGCCCACTCACCGTATTTGCAGTGCAGCTGGACCACCAGGCGGCTGCTCCTCTCATTTATGGAGATGCAGCATTTCTCCACGGTCTTCTCCAGCATCACCAGCGAGCGGAAGACGGACAGGAACGACTAAGTAGGGGAAACACATCAGGGCAGCTCTGCCCCTCCACCGACCAGCTCTCATGTCCCCTGTAGGCCCCGCCCCACTAGGGGCTCAGCACTGTCGTATCAGGAAGAGTTCCCTCAGCATGTCGGACATTTACACACTCCCAGGTCTTTGTTCATGCTGCTCCCTGTCCGGAACGCCTTGAAAGACCTATTTGAATGTCACCACCCCCTCCAGGTCCGTGGTAGGATCCATCACTCTCTCCACATCTGCCATTCCCTGCTGGGGATGGCTTCGCTACGCCCCTTACTGCACGGAGTACCAGACTGCCCCTGCACACACCCCTCTGCCCAGTTAGCATCTGCGGGGTGCCGCAGCGCAGGCACGCTGCTGGTGGGGCTCCCGGGGGGCTGCAGTGCGATGACCGGGGGCAGGGCCTCACCTTCATCAGGATCTTACAGCGAGGCGGGTCCTGACCAGGGGTGGCCGCCTGGTACAGCTGGAAGAAGAGCGGGGAAAAGAGAAAGCAGGCATAGGCGGAGCGGGAGGAGTTCACCGTCCGGAGAGAGAGCTGGGCCCAGAAAAATCAGAGAGAGGGATGCAGTCAGGGGCAGCGACAGGCCCAGCCCTCTGGCCTGCTCTTGCTCACGCACTTGCCCTAAAGCTCTGCATCTCCACCATCACCTGTTGAAATCCTCTGTCCCCTTCCAGGCATCGGACACCTTCTCCATGAAGCCCTCCCTGAGTTAAGGGAGGGCTTGGCTGCTCCCACCGCCAAGGGCCTTGCACGGCTGTCAGGACACTGCCCCGTCGTTGCCACCCACCACCCGGCCCTTCAGGGAGGCCAACTGCTCTCAATTCACACACAGGCCTGGGAAGATGACAGGGCCCAAACCGATGCCCCAGCACCGGGGGTTGGAGACTGAAACCCAGCTGACAAATTCGTCCACGGGCTTCCTGCCGGGTGCAGGCGAGACTCAGGCCCAGCTTAGGCTCCCTGCTGGAATCCTACCCACCCCCACACCCCAGACCCTCACCCCGTCTTCCAGGGGCTCCAGGTAGAGCTCGTCACCGATACGGGATAGAGAGTGGACGGCCTTGCCGAGCACTGCGAGGGCGGAGAAGAACCGGGGGTTAGGCTGGCGCCTCGGGCGGTCCCACGTGCCCCAGCCCCCCCCCCCCCCCCCGCCCCGGCCAGCTCCAACTCACCCTTCACGTTGCCGCCCGCGACCAAACACTTCATGCCGCCCCCAGCCCCGAGGCCGGGCCTGGCCGGCGACCGAGCTGAGACTGGCGGCTGGCCGGCGGCGGGGCGCAAACGGGCCTCGTAGTGACTTCCCTCCGGGCCTCCCAACCGTAGACCGCCCCGGTTCTCTTCGCGCGCACCGCCCCTGACAGCCCCGCCCCAGCCTCCTCATTGGTCCACACGGCGGGGCCTGCGTCACGTGAGGAAGACGTCCTCCGCATTCGCGGTCACGTGACGGAGGCCGGAGGGGGCGTGGTCATGTGAGCGGGGAGCACCTGGCACAGATCTAGTCCGCTTTCTCTCGCCCGCCAGGCCCGCCCGAGCCCTTCCGCGCCCCTCCGCGCCCCTCCGCGCCCCTCCGCGCCCCCCCGCGCCCCTCCGCAGCAGGTCCCGGGGTGGCGGATCACACGAGCGCCGAGGAGCACAGAGGACGCGGCCCCGGGTGCTGCGTGCGGAGCAGCCCGCTTGAGTCACCAGTTTAGTACGGATTTCCTGGGTGTCTGTCGGGATACGAGGTCGAACCAAGACTGTCCGCACCCAGCCCAGGCCGGGCCGGGGACTCGGATGCACGCAGCAACCACCAACGCTGAAAAGAGACAATTCTGTTCATTCTGGCGTCGAGGACCCTTCACTTATCGTTGAAGAGGGGAAGATTCTCGGGCATGGAGGGGTGGATGGGTGTGCGTCGCAGGGGAAGGCGAGAAGAAAGGCTCAGTGGGGCGTGCGGCTTTATTCCGTGGGGAGCGAAGTGGGTCTGTGAGCCTCGCAGGGGGGTGAGGCTGCCAACTGCAAAGGACACGAGTGAGAAGCACTGGAAAGGTTTTACAAGAGTGGAATCGTACTTGTGTGGCCATTTAAAAAAAGACCCGGACTGTGCAGAAGAAAGGTTTTCACCAGCCAGGAATATCTGCCCTGGGCCCGGCCCAGGCCCGGGCCTGAGTCCCCCTGTGTAATGTGAAAGGAAAGGCCCTGCGGGACTCGCTGGTTTCCCGCAACATGAAGGTTCTGGTGCTGCAAAGGGCCGGGCATCCCTGCATTACTTCAGGGCAGGCCTGGCCTTGCCCCTCTGGTACAGTCTGCAGTGAAGACGATATATTTTTCTGCGGACCCGTTGCCCTCCATCTCCCAAGCTGCGATGGTGAACCCCACCTTGTTTCTCCCTGTCCTTGCGCTCAGCTCCTCCCCCTCCCCAGGCTTCCTCAGAGCACTGGGAGAGGTTCCTGGGGATCAGTGTGGATGGTACTGCTTCTCTGCAGCCGTTTAGGTCGGTAAACTGGGAGTCATCCTTGACCTCACCCTCCGTCACCCCACGTGCTGCAATTCTTTGGCAAGCCCTGACTCCTCTACCTCCCAAACAGATGGCAAATTCAACCTTCCTCCGCGTCTCCAGAGCCATCACCCTGGCTCAGGACACCAGCGTCTCCCACCTGGATGGCCGACTGTGGGAGCTCCTGGAGTGGCCTGCTGCCTCCGGCCTGTCTCCTCCAGTCCCCTCTCCATACAGCACCAATGTGACCTTCCTAAAGTGTCAGTCACGTTACACTTCTCCCTTATTTAGACTTCCGGTGGTTTCCAACTGCTACACAGGCCATAAGATCTGAATGCTTTATCCCGAACCTGCAGGAACCGCCCGGTCATCTCTTCACCTGTCTGGCTTTCCTCCCCTTCAGAGCCAGTGGGTTCTCTGAACCCACCCTTTCCATCTTGGGATCTCTTCGTAGGCTAGTCCCCACCCCCCTTGGAATGCTCCTCCCCCTTCTCGCAGGCTGGCTCCTCCTGTCCCTAGGGCTCAGCTTCAGCTGCCCACTGCCAACTGCAAAGGACACGAATGAGAGCCTAGGGCTCGGCCTCAGCTGCCCATCAGTGGGCCTCCTCTGCACCCTCCTCTCGTTCGGCCCTTGCTCTGGGTTAGTCACAGCGCTTAGCACCACTCAATGTTATTTCACACGTGTGCATGTTTATTTAAAGGCTGTCGTCCCCCCTGGTATGTCAGCTCCTGAGCACAGGGACCTTGTCCGTTTTGTTTGCTGCTATACCCCCGTGCCTCTCACGACTGGTCACACGTGTGTTCAGTGGATAAACGTGTGCCCCAAATGAAGCTGGGCTGCCTCCGAGTCACGCTTAGCACACCCCTGCCCACAGCCCCGCCCTTCCGGGGACAGGAGCTGCCGGGCTTGTTCTGTCAGAAGGACAGAAGAACCCAGCACAGCTGTTCTCTTCCTTGCCTGTCCCCCCCTCTCCCCCCAGTGTGCGTCAGAGCAGCCTCCCAGGTCTCCACCCCACGTCTGCCCCACGCCATTCCCTGAGCAGCCCGGCTGGAAGAGGAGACAGGAGCTGAAGCTCCCTGGAAGGCTAAGGGCAAAAGCTGTGAATGTTCACACAGTCATGTCTGCCTGTGACCCCTAGGGCTGTAGCGTCCTGTGGCTTGGAGGTCTTTGGAGAAAGTCCCTGGGGAGAGGAAGACAAGCTCCTTAGGCCTTTCTCCAGTCTTGCAGATGCCTGCCAGGAGCTGGCCCTTCTGAAGGGGGCTCCGGCAACAGAACAGAGCCTAGCTCTGGGAGCCGGGGCTGTGGGTCTCTCGTCTGTCTGTGCTTCGACGTGGACTCGCCGTGTGACTTTGCACAGGTCCCTCCCTGTCCGTGCGGCTGTTGGTGGCCAGAGGTGCTCACTGAGGTGCCCCTCACTGGGCCACAGCTCTGGAGAGGAGCTGCGATGGGCTGTCTTGCTCCCCCCAGGCTCTGGGGCTGGAAGGGAGCTCCACAGTCTGGGGGCGGGCAGGCAGCTTCTCCGGGCTTGCAGTTGGCACGGCCAGTAATGCCTCTCGGCCCGGAAGGGAGGATCCTCGGTGGGGAGCAAGGGCTTCTAAGCAGTCGGCAACACTTTGTGTTGGGCGGGGGGGAGGGGCGAGTATGGGACCCAAAGACAATTTGGGATCTGGGCCAGAAGTCAGGAGGCCCAGGGCAGCCCCGGTCCTACTGACAGACAGCCGGAAGCAGGTGAGGGCCCTTCTCTGGGCCTCAGTTTCCCCTTGATAAAAGGAAGGCATTGGACGACACGCTCTCCCAGGACCCTTTCAACAGCTAGCGTCTTAGTCCCCGCCATACCCCGCAGCAGAGGCGGCCCCCCGCCAGCACCGAAGTGTGTGGGGAGGTGGGTGGGAGGGGGCGGATACGGAACTGAGGAAGGCGCTTAGCGTTTTGTGCTGTAAAACTACCTCTCTGTTGGGAAATCTCTCTGGTTCAGCCACTACTTTTCACCCAGTTGGTTAGGAATCCCCAGAGCCCGGTAACCCATTCATTCAACACATACTAGACACGCTTCTCTAAGTCCAGGAGGGAGGGCACGGGACACAGGCCCCTGCTGTCCTGGGCTCCCACTGCGCTGGAGGACAGCTGGGAGGGCTGTGATGGAGTCTGCTGGGCAGTGCACACACAGAAGATGGTGTAACCAAGAGAGCCGGGCAGCGCTGAGCCGCTGGGGGTGCTGAGCTGGCCAGGCACTACCTGCCCCCCGTGACTGCTGCCGGTTCACCAGCTGCCGGCACGCCCAGAGCCGAGCTCCGCCCGGGGCCCGTCTCATCCCCCGGCAGGTCTCCCAGCGACCAGCACCAGCTTGGCTCGCAGCAGTGGTTTAGTGAGCACCTACTGCGTGACTGAAGAGCACAGGACTCGGAGAGTTCACAGGACCTGAGCTGGGTTGTCCGCTGAGGGGGGCGATGGGGTTCTAGGCGCCGGCCTGCCTCGGTCTGAGTCCTGGCTTCACGACCTCCGGGCTGGGCGCAAGCGGTCATGTGGCCGCCGGCCTCTGAGCCTCGGGTTACTCATCTGTAAATTGGGGAAGGAAGGGCTGTTGCCAGGATTAACTTAGTCAATGTTTACAAAGCTCTTAGCACACGCCGTCAGGGTTGCTGGGGCGACCATTGCTGTGTCCTGCCGCCTCCATCATGGGTGTGCCCGTGCAGGGTTCTAGGGTCAGAACCGAGGACAAAAGAAGTCATGACTGTGGATGAAGCCAGGGCAAATCCACGCCAGGAGACAGGGAGGAAAGCCACCCCCCCGCCCCCGCCCCGCACCAGAGAAATATTATGGAGAAAAGGCCGGAAGGCCAGGGACCAGAAAGTCCTCACAGGCCTTTCAGTGGGGACAGAAGTCAACCCCAGAGAGGAGCTGTGGGGGAGGCTGTGGCCGAGGCCACCGGCCAGGTCCTTGATTCCACGCACCCAGAGGTGCCCTGGGTCTTGTGAGGACGACGTGAGTTCTTCCGTCCTCGGAAGCTGCCGGAGGCTGGCAGGAGGCAGGGACTATGTCCACGCCGCCAGGCACGGCGCACAGACAGGACCGGTCTCTCCAGTCTGCAGGGCCGGCAGCGGTGGAGGGGACACGGGAGGGGAGTTTTTGAGCCCACACACAGCGGGGATGGCACGGGGAAGCTCGGGCTGGACCGCCTGAACCTGGCAGTGGGAGCTCCAGGACCCCCTTGGAGCGCAAGTGCGGTGCGTGTACGACAAATCAAAGTCGGCCTGCTTCGCCCAGCAGGGGAGGACCCCGAAGGAACGCATTACTCCAGACTGCGGTCTCGGCTGGGAATATAAATAGCTTCACAAAAGGTTTAGATAAATCCGGGGATGACAGCTCCATTCATGGCTTAGGAGGGGAAGGAAGCTGTTCCGGGCCTGCTGGTGGGTGGGGGAAGCCTCAGCACACTTCACGGGCTGCGGGCCCCAGGGACCCCAGGTGGCAGCTCCGGTGCTCCTGCAAGCTGGAGCCCGCCTGAGTTCTTGGGCTCTTCCCTCGACCCCCGCCACTCGCCATCCACTGTCCAGGGAGGCGGCACCACCAACTCTCGGGGAGCGAGCCCTGGCCAGGCTGTCCCCTGAGGGACCAGCAGAGGGAGACAGATACCATGTCCAGTACAGCTCCCAGAACAGGGCCAGGCTACTCTGCCAGGTAGAACAAGCACGACCCCCCTGGGGCCCAGCTCCAGCGGACGCCAGCTAGGCACCTGAGGACGGAGGGCTTGGATGGGCTTACCACAGTGGGGGCAGGGGGTGGGGGAGAGACTTCTCGGGGAACTGGGGGCAGGGTGGCTGAAGGGAGTCCAGTCATTAAGAGCTGAGTGGCTCTGGGGCCATCTTGCTCTCTGTCCCACGAGCCCCAAACCTTTGGCTGGCAGGCATGGGTCTCTACAGGTCCCAACTGTTCTGTGGGGCACATATAGGAGGTGCTTCTGAGAGCTTTGGGGGGCAACTGGACCCCTGCAGGCCTGTGTGCCAGCCCCCCGCCCCCAGCCCTGGTATGGGTGCAGGCCAGGTGTGGCTTTCCCCCTTT